CCGTATCCGTTCCTGACGAAGGAAACGAAGAATATCTTGAACGTCCAAAGCCGGCGGTGTCACCGGTAGAAAGGGGTGGAAAATCGCGGAACCTCGAGGGCGGTTCAGTTCCACGGTCGGTCAGGGTTGGCGGGGGGGTTAACGACGAAGCTCGACGTGTGTACACGACCGGGGCCAAAGGAAAAAAATATAAGGGGTACGGAAGAATGAAGGTATAAGAGCCGACGGTGAAGAGCCATCGACTACAGATAAGAGGGACTCCTAAGACTCTTTTAAGAAAAGGTTAAATAAAGGTCGGGGAGCCGCGCTTGTTGTTGGCTGTTCAGATTCCTTCGACCCCGTTCCTCCCCCTCCCGCCGCCGCCGCCGCCGCCCCCGCCGCCGGTCCGCGTAACGCCACTTATTTGAATCCCGAAGGCTCCTTCGAGTTTTCAGCCCCGTCTACGGCTGTTCCTCCCCGCGCTCGGGCCTTCATATCTTTTATATATTAGAATTTTCACCAAACCCACCCCCTCCGGCCGCAACCACCGTTCCTTCTGTTTACTGTTTGGATTTATTCCAACCGACCCTGACTGCCTGTCTCCGCGGAGCCGCAACCACCGTCGGCTGTATATGAGTTCCTTTGCTACCCGGTCTTTATACTTTTCATTCCACCCCCTTATGATCTGGGCTTCGATGACGCGGTCCCATCGGAGCTGCGTTTATTGTCGATCCGAGGTGTACGGCGGTTTTCTTAGGATCGGCTTCGCCGCTTCCCATGCGGAATGAACGCCGATATTGCTCTCTTTTCCGGTAGGGAGAGGTTGAAGATTATTGGGCGCAGTTGAGGAATATTGAGATGTTTCTCGTTTACGTTTTGATTGAGCTTGATTTTAGACTTTCTAGGAAGTTATTGAACTACTAGCATTCACCGGATCCGGAATTCCCTTGGCGTACTATTTACTTTCGTTACTAAGGTCGTGTTATATTTGACTATCGAGAATTTGTAAGAAATACAACAAAATTTTCTACTCCAGGTGGAAATTTCACTTGAAGATAATACATTGATAATAGCAAAATAGTTTGCTTTGATCCGTGGATAATGAACAACATTGATTCTTGTTAACCAGTTAACTGTGACGTCATCTTAAAACTCTTAATGGTGCTAACTTTTTCAACGGTGGATTATTTATTTTCTGAGACAAACATGTAATTCTTCTTGGTTTTGCTTTAGTTTTTCGTCAGGATATATGTTAAGTGCATTTGGCCTGCATTTAACGAGTATAAACTTCATTATTTGATTTTATTGCGCGTACAATGAGAGATTTTTCAAACGAAGTTCCACACTTAACTGGTTAAATTAGTTTAGAAATCTGTCACGAGTCTCAGTCGTCATTGTACGGCA